TGGGTTGAAAGATCTTGGTTTTGCGATAGGGTCTATTTGCTGAAGCGAAGTTTCATCTTTCTTGGCTATTCAGCTTGCTTGGTACACTCTGGTGCAACAATCTCAGTCACGGCAGATGGCTAACTGTAACTAGACCTCTTCTAGGCTCTTAAATCTTCGAGATGACCAACTTTCTTGGTTACTACGGTAGTCCGTGTCATCTCTACCAGTTACTGAACATTTTCCAGCACGTTTCAAGACTCCAGTGTCATGACTAGTTGAGCAGGATTGTGGCTACAGTAGTCCGTATCGTCTTTGTTAGTTATCGAAGCTTCTTCTACGCGTTATAACAGTCCAGTCTCTTAACAACTTGATTGGAATAGTGGCTATGATAGTCCACATCATCTTTCTCAGTCCCTGAGCCTTCTTCAACACCTAACATCGTCACAATGATTATGTCTACTTGCTCAGGTTAGGAGTCGTTGCGTAACATCGGCTTCCCTGTGGTTTCAAATTCCAAGTAACCAAAGTTAGGGATGGTCAGTTTCATTCAGACTAGATCAGAATAGTGTCTACAATAGTTCACATCATCTTTCTCAGTCCTTGAGCCTTGTTCAACAGCTAACATCGCCACAATGATCATAACTGTTTGCTTAGATTAGGGGTCGTCGCATAATTTTGTCTTTCCTGTTGTTTCAAACTCCAAGTAACCAAAGTCAATGATGATCAGCTTCATTCGAACATGATTAAAATAGTGTCTACAATAGTCCACGTCATCTTCCTTAGTTCCAGAGCTGTCTCCAATATATAATATCATCGCAGTGATCATATCTACTTGTTCAAGTTAGAGGTCGTCACGAAACGTTCATCTTTCCTGTGGTCTCAAACTCCAAGTAACCAAAGTCATGGTCAGCTTCTTTCGGCCAAGATCATCTTCGCAGCTACCGAGCCAACAGGTTGGTCATGCAACAAGAGCATCACAGGCTCGCTATCAACGTCGCCTCATCTCTCTGGAAACTGCATTGGCCTGTGACGAATCCGCGATCGCGATAATCCGCGAAACACGTATGCACCTAGCACCATGGAAGATCCCATTGGATCGGCGCGTGGATGGTGTTCAGGCAACCGGAGCGATCGAAAGAATCTCGGTGCCCGCGTCACTCAGGCATCGTTCTCAAAAGGCATCCAGCTCACCGAGACTCTCCGTCGTCTCCTTTGGCATTTTTCACGGGATTGCAATAAATTTGCCGCCGGTCTGCTCGGCCAAATCGCTTCCCCGTCGACATTGTCCGGCAATAAAACTTCCTCGAGCGTAACGGCCTCTGATACAACGAGCATCCTCATTTGCTTGTTTCCGCGCCTACCCGACGCCTCGACATTGCGCCCAACGAGGTGTTTACGAGTTCGTTTCTCGTTTATTTATCGTACCTGTCTAGCCTATAGGGGCTACCGTGACTCGCTGTGGTTTCCGTGGTCCACGTTCTTTGAAGAAACTCTTGCTACGAAGTGTGAAGCGCTCGTCTTCTTTTGGTCAGGTGTCTAGGGGTTGGTTCGAGCATTTTCGTTGGTGATGACGAGGGTGGAATGAGGTCGGTGCAGACTTCTCAGGATCTGTACAGGGAGACGTTTACGCTGGTCTGGCTTCTGGAATGGAATGGGACAAAGTCTAAGAATTTTAATATGTGGAGGTGAGATCTTTTTGTGGGTGTTGTGCATCTTGTTTTGCTTCATTGAAGTGTGTCATATAGATGTATAATGAGTTTGAAAGTATTGAAAAATCGAAATATTAGAAAATTAGAATATTTGGAGATTTAAGGATGGTGAAACTCTGATATTTGAAAATTCAAAGATTCGAAGTTCTAAGAACTTAAAGATTCACAGGTTTAAAGGTTCAAATGTTCATAGGTTAAAAAATTCAGAGGTTTGAAAATTCAAAGATTCAAAAATTCAGACTTTCAAAAATTGGAAGATTCAAAGGTTTGAAGGTTCAAAGATTCAAACATTCAGAGATTTAAAGGTTTAGAGGTTCAAAGATTCAAACATTCAAAGGTTCGAAGGTTCCAAGATTCAGACATTTAGGAATTCAAAGGTTTGAAGGTTCAAACATTCAAACATTCAAACATTCAAAGGTTCGAAGGTTCCAAGATTCAGACATTTAGGGATTCAAAGGTTTGAAGGTTCAAAGATTCAAACATTCGAATTTTCAAAGATTCAAACATTCGAAGGTTCAAAGATTCAAACATTCAAGGATTCAAAGGGTTGAAGGTCTAAAGATTCAAACATTCAAAGGTTCGAAGGTTCAAAAATTCAAACATTCAAAGGTTCGAAGGTTCAAACATTCAAACATTTAGAGATTCAAAGGTTTAAAGATTCAAAGATTCAAAGGTTTGAAGGTTCAAACATTCAAACATTCAAAGGTTCGCAGGTTCAAAGGTTCAAAGGTTCAGAAGTATAAAGATTCAAGGATTTAAAGGTTCAAAAATTTGAGGATTCGCAGGTTCATGAATTCAAAGATTCAAAGATTCGTAGTTCCAATGGTTCAAGAATTCAAAAATTCATGGATTCAAAGATTCGAAGATTCGGAAATTAAAAAAGTGAAATATTAAAAGACTGGAAGATCCAAATTTGAAACTAGATAGAATTAGGTGAAACTTTATCGTATGAACGAATTGTTCTCCGACAGTGTCACACGAGGGCAGTTGAAAAATCGATTTTTTGAGAGATGGCGGAGGTTCTCGAACGCGGCTGTACGGCGAAAGCGTCGCGTCATTGTCCGCGAGCGGCGTAATGACAGAGCGGCGCGACGCCCGGCGTCAGCGCGTCAAATCGGAATTGTCGTTAGTAACTGGTCCGAGACTTTCGCGCATTAACCGCGTTTTCTATTCGCGGGAAAATCTACGTTCGAGATTCGTAGTTCCTGCACGAGAAAACACCGTCGTCCGGCTAACGAACGCCACGCTCTTCTACCCGCAGCCGAGTTTCTTATCTCCTTTAATTAATCATCGATTTCGATTTCCTCCATTTGCCTTGTCCAAACGGTATTCGTAATGTTTACGCGTGTATACGATTCCCTGCGAATTTCTTCCTCTTTCTCCCTTTTTTTTTCATCCTTTCACGACTATATTTCATATAATTTTAGATGCTAATGCCGTCTGTGGATTAAGTGTTTGATCGGCTCGTAGTAATGATACGTGAATGCTAGTGAAACGTATGAATTAATGGCAAATTACTGGCTGGGATCAACGAACTGTAAATTTAAAATCATTTACGCCTATTAAGCGGTGCATTAATTAAATAATTAAATACACCATAGGTCGATTGCATTTAAGTTTAATTTAATTGTCGAAACTTTTTTAAATTTTCACTGGCTCTTGATGTGGAAATAATTTTTTCCCTTCGTAGATGGGATTTTCTATGTTTGATCTATGTGTCTGTAATTGGTAATTAAGTATGCCGTGTGTAGATGATAATAATTGAAATAAGTAGATACGTTTAATAATGTCCCTCTGCGAATCAGCGTAGTGTCAACGTATTAAACCCATCTTCGAGATCCTGATCATCGTGTGATCATAGTAAAATTCACAATTCTCCAAACTATACGAAAACTAAGATAAGAAATTTTTTAAGACCGCATAAAAATGGGAATAAAAAATTTTCGAAGCTACACGAAAATTAAAATAAAAAATTTCATAAACCATTAAGATTTAGAAGATTAAAATGAAAAATTCTCCAAACTACACGAAAATTAAAATAAACAATTCTCCAAATCACACGAAAATTAAAAAAAAAATACTCCAAACCATACGAGAGCCAAAATATTATAATAAAAGATTCTTTAGAACCACATAAAAATCGAAATAAAAATTTCCTAGAATAAAAAATTCTCCAAATTACACAAAAAGTAAAAATAAGAAAGTTTTCAAACCGGGTAAAAAGCAAAATAGAAAATCCTCCAAACCATACGAAACCCAAAATAAAAACATTCTTTAAAACGACACGAAAATTAAAATAAAAAATTCCCCAAATCACAGGAAAATTAAAATACAAATTCTCCAAGTAAGAGAAAGACATGTTCTCCACAATCGCCATTTTCCCACAATTTCCGCCACCCAGCGAGCCAGTGTCAACGAATCTTCTCGTTTCCTGTTCTCCCACCAGCCTTCTACCTGCTCCTAATGGATAGCAATTTCCAACTTTCCCAGCCCGCTATACCATCGAATTCTTCGTAATTACTTCTCTCAGCCTGGACTTTTTCCTCTCCCAACCCTTCCAGCATTCCTTCCATCCTCCGCTCCCTCCCAGGGCCTCCAATTAACCAGAAAAATGGCGGAGCCGGCAATCTACCGGTATAATTCCCGATATTCAGCGTGCATAATAACCCGTTCAACGATCGAACCTCTCCGACGACGTTAGCCTTCTCACCTGCCTTTTTACCTCTCCCTAATTAATCGCGATTTTCAATTTCCTCTTATTTGCCCGGCCCGCTAGAAAGCTCTCTCTCTCCTCGCCCGGACGGTGTACAAATGGCGGACGTAAATCACGCGGGACCCGGCCGAACATGGCGGACCAGGAGGATGGAACAGGAACGATTTCAAGAATTAACAGGGATTTAGACCCGGCAGCCAGTTCCTCCGTTCTCTCTCCGGGGATTAATACCGTGGTCCTGGTGCCAGATCGATCTCTCTTTCTCCCGGTGTTCAGTTTCAGTTATCGTTTCATAGATCAGCCGACCAAGGACGCTAGGCTAGATCCAACGATTGCTCCTTCGCTAACCAGCCCGAGATCTCTCTCTTCGCCGCTGTTTTTGTCTTACTCGCGGTAGTACCGTAGTCGCCCCGAACACAGGGCTGACGGATCGATTTCATTATACGGGGTGAGCCGGCTCGTACGTCTTCCCTTGGTTCCACCCCTTTCGCTAGCCCTGTAAGACCGTGCCCGCCGATAGGGGATTCAGGAATGCACCAGGCTATCATTCATCAAGGCGAGCCAACGTAATCTCGTTTCTTCTCTCTGTGTTACAGATTTCCTCTACCGGCACAGCGTTACCATCGATAACGTTAATACCGAGGTCGAGATACTGGACACTTCCAGGTGCGAGGTAAGTTCCCGGCCATTTTTAAACCATTGTCGCCTTTGCCGACGAGTTTCCTGTGTTTTCCAGATTTTTCTTCTTTTTTTCTTTTTCTTTTCATTTTCCGCTTTATTTCCATGGATTTTGGGTAGTAGAAGATTTTTGAATCGAAATATTTGGGGAGGGGGGCGAAGGGGGAGTTTTTGAGCTTTGGAAGTTGGGATATTTGTTTATTAGAGGAGTCCATTATTTTTGTTAGAGGAAAATAAGAGATGGAGGAATATTAAAGAAATTTTTTCCATTTTTATGCAGTTTTAGGGACAGGGGGTAAATTTATGACCGCGAAATTAAAGGGCTGTTTTTATTCTTGTAAATTTTCCTTTTCTTTTCCTGATTTGTTTTATTGGATTTTGGGTAATGAAGGAATCTTGATTCAGAGTATTTTTCTCTTTTATTTGGGGAATTTTTTGAGTTTTGGGAGTTCGGGTGTTATTTATTTATTGCAGGAATCTGGAGGGTGAATTTGGGACCACGAAATTAAAGGGCTGTTTTTATTTTTGTAAATTCTCTTTTCCTTTCCTGATTTATTTTATTGCATTTTGGGAAGCGGAAAATTCTCGGGTCAGAATATTTTTTCGAGAATTTTTTAAGCTTTGGTAATTGAATTATTCGTTTATTAGTGAAATTTATCATTCTTACAGAGGTATAATCTTCTTATTAGAGGAAAGTAAGAGGTTTCTTTTCATTTCTGTGAAACTTAAAGGTGGTACCTTTAGCACGACGAAATTAAAGGGACTATTTTTATTTTTACAAATTCCTGTGTTTTGGGGTGCAAGTTTTACGGCATTTTTAACGTTTACAAATTTCTTCGTGAAATTTCTTTATTTATCTCAGAAATCTCGCGTAAATTTTGCATACTCGAGAAATCTTGGATACCGACTCGGAATGTTCCTTTCCCTCACTCAGTTCCGCTTTTCTTCCAGGTATGAATCATTATGGAAATTCCAGGGTTGATATTAAATATTTTTTTCTTCGTTTTCACGATTATTTCCTCCGAACTTTATTTACTCGCCAAGTGCTCGCCAAGTTTATTTGTTCTACCTTTATTTGTCGATAAAATAATTTACGATCTCGCCGTATCACCAGGAGAGTCTCGAAAAAGTGGAAAATCGACGGCGATCAATTACCACGCGGACCCCTTTCTCTCTCTGTCTATCCATCTATCTATCTGCGACGGTGCAAAACGAAAAGAGCCGGCTCCGACATAGCAACACTTAACGAATCTCCCCGTGGCACCGATCGCAAATTATCCATCCGGTATTTTTCCCTTCCCCGTTTGCCCGTCGGCGGAAAAGAGTCCGGCGCCTAATGATCCTGCGGGATTATTGATGGATACACGACATAGATTGGCGTTAAAATCTCACTCGGACGCGAGCGCGGTGAAAATGTACATTTACGGCCGTACGTTTATTTGACAGACCGATTTGCCCGCGTGAGTTATGCCTGGTCTCGTGGCCGGCTGTAAATTATCCACGGTTACAACGGGATCGTCGGCCTTTGATTTCTGTTTTATGTTGCTGCACGACAGCGCCGCGGTTTCCGCTCTCGCGATTCGCCCGCCAATTCACTCCGCGTTTTTAGGCAACCTTTTCTTGGATACACAGGGTGTTTCGTACGATGAAGTCACAGATTCGCTGTCTTCAGACGATCCGGAGTCGAACGGGAACTGTGAGAGCGTCTATGCCCAGTCTAGGGGTCTAGCGGTGGTCTAAGTTCATAGAGAGCCTTTGAAGTTTTGGGATGGAAATTTTATTTAATAGAGAGAGAGGGGGATATTGCATAGAACTGGATTAGAATTGCAGCTTTGAGACGATCCGGAGTCAAACGGGAACTGTGAGAGCGTCTATGCCCAGTCTAGGGGTCTAGCGGTGGTCTAAGTTCATAGAGAGCCTTTGAAGTTTTGGGATGGAAATTTTATTTAATAGAGAGAGAGGGGGATATTGCATAGAACTGGATTAGAATTGCAACTTTGAGACGATTCGGAGTCGAATGGGAACTGTGAGAGCGTCTATGCCCAGTCTAGGGGTCTAACGGTGGTCTAAGTTCATAGAGAGCCTTTGAGGTTCTGGGATGGGAATTTTATTTGATAGAGAGAGAGAGGAGGATTGCATAGAACTGCATTAGAATTGCAGGTTTGAAACGATATAGGGTAGAGAAGAAGTGTGAGTTAGAAAGAAAATGCCTCTACCTAGTCTAGGGGTATAGAGATGGCCTAGGTTCATGATTATCTTTTGAGATTCTGAGATTGGAATTTTATTTGATCGGAAAAGAAGGGTATAGCATAGAACAGGGTTAAAATTTCAGCTTTGAAACGATATTATAGAATAGAGAAGGAATATGAGTGTAAGAAAATGTCTGTGGTGAGTTTAGGGGTATAGAAATAGCCTAGAGATGTAATTGTTTGAGTTTCTAAGGCTGGAATTATGTTTATTCGAGACAGGAGGAGGTTTACAGAAGCTTGGAAACTTGAAGTTCCCCGACAATTTATGTTAAAGTAGATTGATTGTCAGAAAGTGTCTGTACCATGTCTAGGGTTGTAGGCATGGCCTAGGTTTACTTCTGTGATTCTTTGAATTTTTAAGGTTGGAATTTCATTTGTTCAAAATAGAAGGTTTACATAAGCTTGGAGACTTGGAGCTTCCATACAGTTTGTTTCTAGACAATGGCGGCGTTTTATTATCAAAAAATGCCTGTAGCAAGCCTAGAGTCATAGGTCTAGAGATGTCCTAGACTGCTTTATCACCTGAGAATAAGATTCTGTTGGGGTATTTTATAAGACAGGTTCAGGTTAGAGCTTTGAGACTCTAAGTTCATGATGACTGTTTGAATTTCTGACATTGGAACTTTATATCCTCTTCATATTTCTCTTCATTTGATCCAAATGACAGAGAAGTAACCGCTACTGTAAATGAATAGGCTAATAGTTCAATATTTTAGTTACAGGATGTTGAAATCCTTGTCTAATGCACACTAGGTTTTGCAAAATTAAATGCAAGGGACACCCAGTATACCTTACTTGTACGGGACCCCTGAGGGACTTGGAATGGGCCCTTAAGGCCCATGTCTGTCATACGTCCAACATGCAGGGGAAGTAACGAGCCGCTGGGAATTCGCGTTCCTTCTTTCCCTGCGTTGATCCTGAACATTGCTGGCTGTTGTTCCTCAGAAATTTCGTTGTCTTCTGTCGTTGGAAGCTGAAACTGGCGTGTAACGTGCAACGATTCAGTTTGTCAGGCAGGCTTCGTAATTTGTGTGTACTTTGGCGTCGTTATAAAGTACGAGTGGGGTGTCTTCGCGAAGTGGTTGAGAATATGAAGTCATTTGGAGACGAGTTACTTTTATCTACTGATTTTAAGATCATGCATATAACAGTAAAAAATGGGTCGGTGTTATTAATTATTATATTTGTAATAACTGCAAAAATTCAAAATTTTGGATTCTCAAAAATTCCTTAAAAACTTTTCTTCTAAACTTTTAAAACTAGTCACTTTCACTTGTTTCTTGGTACTAGTGTCAAAACAAATTTCAATTTTATTGTAAAAATTAAAAATCTGAATTCTGAGAGTCTCAAAAATTTCTTTTTTGAACCAAAACCAAAACTTTTGAAACCAGTCATTTTCACTCGTTTCGTGTTTCTAGTGTCAAGACAAATTTCAATTTTTACTTCGACTTTACTCAGAATTATTTAAATTCTAATTCTAGTCACCCCAATGATCCACACCCATCCAGATGCAGAAAAATCTCCACACCACTCCTCGATCGACATTCACACCTCGAGTCACTCCATCACCCAACTTTTCGGCCGAAAATAGCCCAGCAAAGGGCAAGGTCGTTCACCCCGAATCCCAATTTAATCCCAAAAGAGCAAGAGGAGAACGAAATGCAGCCAGCAAGACATGTCTATCCGTGACTGTAGCACTCGCCTAGGGGTAGTAGTCATCGACACCGATGACTGGACATCGTTGTCGATCATTGTCGCGGAGCAACGAGACCAACAAATATTCGCATTCTGCTCTTTGCCGCGGCCTGAAGAAAGTCTTGTTTCGTCTTGCTTAGAGGTCTGGTGCATCGGTTAGGGTAAACGCGTTCCACGTCAGGCTTACGTTTCCTTTTGCATTTTTTCGCGACGCTGCACGGCATCGGCGCCTTTTATATTTATCTTCCGTCGACGCCTGTAAACACGACTATTTCAGCCGGACGCGCTCGCGGGCCAAGCGTGGAGAACGCGCTTTTTCTTCCTCCTCTTCCACGGCCTCCGCGTCCCATCCACTCCTCGTCCTTCTTCCTCTCTAAGGCTCGCTTAGACCTCTCGTCGCGTTCATTGTGAAAGTCACGATGAATCATTTGCTTGCTGGACAAACTCTGCCTCCACGCGTTTTGCAATAGGCTTAGCTTTTCATCTGGACCAGCTTTTTGCTCCTGCTACGCTGCTCAGGAATCCACCGGCAGAAACAGAGCACCTCTGTTCCTGATGAAGTCGTCGCTGATCCTATCGCGTCCCTCCCCTGGAGAAACTTTGCTTCATTGTTGATTGGACCAGTCATCGATCGATTGTCGCAGGTTTCAAGTGATTAGGAGCTGTGGGGAGGAGATGCGGATGTTTGGCTGGGTTGTTAGGCTGCAGTTTCGCGTCTTTGTTGTGATCGAGACTGAGGTATGAGTGGTTTCAATGGTACTGGAAGTCTGTAGAATTATTTAGAATCGATTTTAGAGGGACTCGTAATTATTCCGAGTTTTAAAATAGTTTTAAAATAGAGGTGGAATTGGAAAATAATTCAACGATGTCTATAATATTCGTAGTACATTTGTTGCAAGCATGCAACATTGATAGACCACGATAAATATTAGTGGAAAATGTCTTTTGTTGCTTACGATAGCCTTAAGAGAATTTCCATATAACTCACTAGCGCCACCACGACCCGTATCTCCAACGAATCTACTGTAAATATCATATGTACAATTGCCCA